TCACAGTCCTATTAGAGCAATAGCTGTGTTTGGGAAAGGAATTGGTTGGCTGAGAACTTCAGTGCTGGCAACGTCATTGAAGCCAACTCATCCATGGCCAACTTGCCTTGGGAAATTTGCCACGGAACAAGAGTTACACTAAAATCAAAGAAATGGTGGAATGTAGTCATTAAAGAAAGGATGCCAAAGGATGGACAAAAATGAAATGTGAATGATAAAAATGAGAACATTTTTAGAATTATTTTTAAATAATAATTAAATTGAATTGTTCCGTGGTGAGTTATCCCATGGCGAATTGGCCATCGCAAGTTGTCCTGTGGCCAATTGGCAGTGATGAATTGACCACAATGAGTTGGTCAAGGGTGAGTTGTCCTGTCTGGGTTTGTGATACAGTTTTTGATGTGATTGTTGGATCAGGGAGTTTGGAAAGGTTCAAATATACATAGTTGTAGTTGATTTAAACTGATTTGGATGGCTGGCAGAAAACAACACATCAAAAATGTATTCTGTTATTGTCAGTATCCAATTTTAATTACTTTGAGAATGTTCTTTTGAAAGTTTATGTATTAATTGGCAATGAGAAACATTTGTTATCAAAACCCTATAAAATATGACTAGTATTATGAGGAGTACAAACAACGTGATTAGAGAGGAGAAAGACTTAACGTCATTAATTACATCTTTAATAATGAGACAATATGGTTATAGAGAAATAATGTTTCAGGATGTGCTAATCTTCAGGCAAACTGTTTTAAAACAATGTTTTGTTACTATGCAATACCGTAAGAATTATGTAAAATAATATGATTTAAAGAATGCTAATTCTTGGAAATGTCATAATGAAGAAAGAAGATATATATTCACGCATTATGGATTTGTAAATTAACTTAAACATTATGGAAGGGCTGCAAAGGGAATAATTTTATCTTGATGAATTAAAAACAAAGAAAAAATTGAGCTTTTAAATTTTTATTGAGCTTTCTGCCAGTGGCATTTTTTTCATAATAGTAACATTTTACTATCACAACTGGGGTTGAGATTTATTTATTTGTTTGTTTGTTTATCTATGGCAACAGTATAGGTTTGGTTGCAGTTACTATTGCAGTTTTTATGATTCTTTTTTTTTAAGTGGGGATATGTGCATCCCATTCTAGGCTACAGCCCTGCGATTTTCCGATGATTGTTTATCCAAAACAATCTTCTTAAGAAGAAGAAGAATCGGAATAGAGCTGGAAGGGACCTTGAAGGTCTTCTAGTCCAACCCCCCCCCCAAGCAGGAGACCTTATACCATTTCAGAGAAGAAATGGTATAGGTTCTTAGTCCATCTTAATCTGACTGCTTAGCTTTTCAAGACCACCACCTACCTACCTTCCTTCCTTCCTTCCTTCCTTCCTTCCTTCCTTCCTTCCTTCCTTCCTTCCTTCCTTCCTTCCTTCCTTCCTTCCTCCCTCCCTCCCTCCCTCCCTCCCTCCCTCCCTTACCAAGGAGTGGATGTAGTGTACAGGATGTCATTGAAGCTGGCTAACTTTCTCTTGTAACAACAATTTCCTGTCCTTGATGCTGACTCCACAGTTCCGCCTAATATTTGCTGTTTGACTCTTTTGTGACTTTATATCTAGTGCTAATAAAGCTGTCTTGACATCTGGGTTGTTCCAGTCTGCTACACACATTTGAGTCTCCTGGAACAAGCTGCTGGGTCAGTCATATCAGAACAGTGACATTGGCAAAGACAATGATGTAGAAGGGTTGAAAGAAGGTGTAATTTCAAATGCTTGCTTAGAAACTGTGTATTCTGCAATTTGTCCCTCCCAGTGACTCCACCTCTTAATAGAAGGTTGAAATTATGTGTTGCCTTTTCAACAATCAAGCATCTTGTATGCCCCCTTTTTAGTTTACTATAAACATGGTCCGGTTCAGGTATTGAATTTCTGTCATTGTTTTGAAACCTGCGGTGGTTAAACTAACAGGAACGTCAAGCTGGGCCTGAGGAACAGGAGCTGGAAATAATGAAGGGTTTGGAAACTAAGTCTTAAGAGGAGATATTGATTTAGCCTTACATACAGTGATTGATATGATGGTATTTTTCAAGTATCTAAGGGGGAATCATCTAGAAAGCGACAAGCATGCAAAGGCGTCTGTTAGAGGAAGGGAGATCCTGATTGAATGTTAAGGAAAATTACCCAGTAATTAAAAAGCTATTTGCCAGTGCAACTATTATCCAGAGAGGTAGTGAGCTGTCCTTCAATGGATGTTTTTAAGAAAATGCCATCAATTAGGAATGTTTTAATTTGGATTTTTCTGCTCAGCAGTGGGCTGGGCCAAAGACTCTTAGCTTCAAGTTTCTTTGACTTTAAGAGTACCCATCAAGGAGAAAATTAGGAAGCTGAGCTATAGGATTAGTATGTTTTTGGATTTGGTTGTGAATGAGATATGAACCCAGTCATTGTTTGTAATCCATGGTTTACGGTTTAGCATGAACCAATTCACAAAAGATTTTTCAATGTCATGCTTTAATGAAACCAGCCGCTGTAAAATGCAGCAGAAATGGAAACTTCTTGAGGCTGAGTGATCATGGAGAGTTGACAGGATAATTGAGTTTTCTCTTCCTCAGATTCTTCAAACTGGTCTCTAAGACTACATCTAGAAAAGCTGTCCTCATCCTTGGTATATTCCAGATGTGTAGCCTTGAACTCTAGCATTCTCAAATATAGGCATTCTGGCTAGGAAACTCTGGGGGCTAAAATCCACACATTTAGAAGATGACCAGTTTAAGAAAAGTTCTGGGGTGGTTTGAGACTTCAAGAGCAGATATTGTTATTTGGGGATTATCGGGGAGTTGAAATGTTCTTTCTTCCAAGATTCAGGTTAATCAGAATGAGGCCTTTGATGATGAATTGCCCAAAGCAATCAGAGGGCAGATTAGTCTGTAAGTCTAGGAGTACTGGTGTAATGTAACCTGTTTCTCTCTGGGTAGATGGATGCCATGGTTAGTTGTCAGCAGCAATATTTTAATTGATTTATAGTCCCGATACAGAGTTGTTTATTTGTGTCAATCGGTTTGTCTGTTGCCAGGCTGTTAACAAAAACCATGACAATACAAGGTTATTTTTTTTTCAGCACTGCTGATTAGTTTATCAAGGCTCAAGCATGTTACTCAAGAGAAATGGGCAGATACGCCTTTCAAACTGGCCTTATGTAAGCTGTGTTCAACTTTTCACCTAGCCTTTAACACCGACCTTGGGAGAGTTAATTTGGAAGTCCCAGGATGGCATGCAAAGCAGCACTTGTATTAATTATAAATAGATGCTTAATTATAAATAGATGCTTAATCTTTCTTGGGGAACATCAAAGTTAATTCTGAGACTCCACTGTTTACCCACCTCGTATTTGCTGATTCACACATTGTGCTATGTTGTGATTGATCATGTTTTACTGAACAAGGCAAAATTGGTTAGCTTTATACTACATGCTAAGGCTAAGCTGTAAACGGAGGCAGAAAATAAAGTCAGTTTCAAGTCAAATTTGACTTCATTCATGCAGAGGTTGTTTGTTTTTTTGACATAATTCAGAAGTGATTTGATGTGGCCTATGTCATTTTACAGCTTTGATCTTTCCAGATCCAGTTTGGTCTGGTGGTTAAGGCACCAGGCTAGAAATTAGGAGACTGTGACTGTGGAGCTTGTCGGTCATCCGGAGTATAGTTGTGTCAAAGGTGCTTTTTTCTTCAAAAGGCAACTTCTTCCTCAAGGAAAAAAAATAATCCTGTTGCCTTGAGACAGGAGACTGCAAGTTCAATCCTGCCTTAGGCACAAAAGCCGACGGGGTGACTTTGTACCAATCACCAGGAGATATTGAGTCACACCTTAGCCATGAATGTTGGCTTGGTGATTTTGAGCAAGTCACTCTCTTTCAGCCCAACTCTACCTCACAGGGGAAAATAGGAGGATAAAGGTGTGCTGGATATGTTCACTGCCTTGAGTTATTTGTAAAAATAATAAAGATGGGATAGATAGATAGATAGATAGATAGATAGATAGATAGATAGATAGATAGATAGATAGATAGATAGATAGTTGTTTTCTGAGGTTTTCACAGGTGTTTGTATGTAGGTCTTTGGTTATTCGGGTTTTCTCTCACGTAAAAAAGCTGAAAGCACCAGCCTGAAGATGACGAATGAGACTTCGTCGAAACATCGCCAAGACACTTCCAATTTTACGTGGGAGAAAACCCGAATAACCAAAGACCTACATAGATAGATAGATAGATAGATAGATAGATAGATAGATAGATAGATAGATAGATAGAAAGATCCCCATCCAAATACTTACAGGTACAACACTGTTTAGTTTTCTGGACTGTTTGCTGAATGATACAAACCACTATAGCTAGTTTCATATGACAAAATAAGTCAAATCCAAACAAATCACGTTGTTAGCATGCATTAGTCATTGTTGTTTGTAAAATTTTCTTATCAGTACTATTAATTCTCCAGTGCTAGGGCCTTTTGTGTATATTCAAAGTAATCATTTTACCTATGCTTCATGCAATTATTTGCATTATCTTACCGCTATTCCCCTTTTAGCTCATTTGTTTGTATCTATTAACTTAAAATAACTCATTTCTCCAGCAAGTAGACTCGGTTTCTTGAAAGCTTATGCTGTCATAAATCCATTTGTCTTAAATTCCTCTTAAAGGTGCCTGGGGTTGTGTTTTTGTTTTTGTACCTTTGATCACCTGCTCTAACAGCTTTGAAATGTTAAAGCAACAAGGATCCCTAATTGCACCATGATCACATGTTTGAACAATGGAAGCTAAGGCAGCCTGTGTTTATCCAGACACATCCAACGGGTCTATTCTCTCTGGAGCTGCTGTCAAGCCCATCTCACCCCTAGATTGCCTAAAACATTTTAACAAGTGAGATTCCTTTTTTAAAAATAAAAGAATACAATATATTGTAAAAGCAAAATAATGTTTATGAAGGTTTGTGTTTACATTGCAGAGTTCCCACGACAAAGACGTGATTCTGAATACTCTGAGTATTCTCACAAATCTTCTTTCTGTTGGTAAGTGGAAAACTGAATATTCTATTGTAGGATTTAAGATGAGAAATCTTATATGAGAAAGTACATCCCAATGTACCAATCTCTAAAAATACACTTGGGTAATAGGCTATGTATAAGTAGTTTTCTACCCTCACTTTTTATATTGTGATATGAAATGGGTTATTTACATTAAATAGAGATAAGAGTAATAATAACAGTAACAGTATCAATAACAATAACAACAATGACAACAACAACAGCAACAACAACAACAACAACAATAATAATAATAAAATAGAGTTGGAAGGGGTCTTGGAGGCCATCTAGTCCAACCCCCTGCTGAGGCAGGAAACCCTACACCATTTTGGACAAATGGCTGTCCAGTCTCTTCTTAAAAACTTCCAGTGTTGGAGCATTCACAGCTTCTGGAGGCAGGTTATTTCACTGGTTAATTGTTCTGACTGTCAGAAAATTTCTCCTTAGTTCTAGGTTGCTTCTCTCTTTGGTTAGTTTCCATAGATAGATACTGTAGATAGATAGATAGATAGATAGATAGATAGATAGATAGATAGATAGATAGATAGACAGATAGACAGATAGCGACTTTCCTCCATCTATCTTCAGAAGATTATCGGTTTTTATTTTATCATATTTGTCATATTTAATTTTACAGAGGAAATTTTATCCTCTGTAAATTTTGTCTAATCCACAAATTAAAATGGATGCAGGGGGACATCTGAATCAGATGCCTGCTTTGTAATAGAAAAGCAGCTGCTGGAAAAGAATTGTCAAGGGTGCCGAATGCAGTTTAGAGCATGAAGGAAAATTGTGCAAAGGGAGTTATTTACCCAGTTACTTTTTCCACTCTCATCACAGCCCCCAGCCCTACATGTCCTTCCCCTAGGTTGGCAGAATACTGGATCACCTTCCTTGGCTTTTGGAATGATCTAAGCTTTGGAGCTGTTTGGGGTAGTGGTTAAAACAGGGGTCTTCAAACTTGGCCCCTTTATGACTTGTGGACATCAACTCCCAGAATTCTCAGCCAAGCATGCTGGCTGAGGAATTCTGGAAGTTGAAGTCCACGAGTCATAAAAGGGCCAAGTTTGAAGACCCCTCCCATATATCAATGTGCAAAGTAAACCTGAGTTCCTTAGAATCAACGTACTGAGTATCTGGAATAACCTTTACAACTGTCCTTTCCTTTCCCCAGGGACAAACAGGAGAGTCCAGTACACCATTAGCAAAGGGGGCAGCGAAGCCCTTTTGCAAGCCTTGGTGAATGCAGCACGGACTTCAATACCGGACTATGACATCTTGTTACCTCTCTTGCGCTTGCTGGTCAGAATTGGCTGTAAAGGTAATTATTGACGAGAGCTGTTCAATTCCAAGTGATTCAGAGTGGCTTTCATCAAGCCACAATAAGATTAATCATCATTATCTAAATTACAAGCAGATGTTGTTGAAACAGGAATATCTGAAAAAGGCTATATCTGAAACCCCCAGATGTAGCCATTGAGTCTCTTTTTAATGGATTAGTACTCTACTGCTACAACGCGAGCTATGCCTTTATGCCAGTGGTGGGAGTCAGCCAGTTCTCACCAGTTCGGCAGAACCGATAGCTAGTTTTTTGTTGCTCAAGCCCAGAATGGACTTCCGGAAGCGGCATCCACCCAGAGAACCGGCTGTTCACCTATTGGAATCCCACCACTGCTTTATGCCTAACATTGTGAAGAGATGTCAGCTACCCACTGTGTATGACATTCCCCAGGTATAACGGCTAGTTTATTACGGACAAAACAAAGTGACAAAATCACTTACTGAGCCATCGAACGACACGGTCCTTATGTAGTAGATTACCTAGAAAGAGTCCCACCCACTGTGATGTTTTGAATGGAACTGCCTAATGTTGCATGAAAGAAAGCTGGAACGTAGTGTCAGTCAAACGAAAAGGATATATTCCTGAAATTCCCTCTTTGCTGCTCGCTGTAGCATTAGGGAAACAATGCAATCCAGGAAACGACAGCCCACTGCTTTGGGATCTCGATTCAAGTTTTTTATTTTTATTTTTTAATCCCCATGTTGATTTCCTAGAACAAATGCATTCATGCACCTTTGGGATCCTTAGCAGCCTTTTTTCAGCCTCTCTCAGTGGTTTTATAAGCATAGTATCTCATAAGTATTGAAGAGCCTTTTCTACTATGGCCCCATCCCTGTGGAACTTTCTTCCACCAGAGATGAGAACTGCCTCTTTCAGCATTTGGGAAGGATATCAAACCCTGGCTTTCCTTGTTGGCCTGGGGCCCTGAGGGAGGGTGCCCACTGCCAGAAATGGCTGATGGGGTAGAACAGTGGTTCTCAACCTTTCTAATGCCGTGACCCCATAATACAGTTCCCCATGTTGTGGTGACCTCCAACCACTTATACATCACCAGGTGCCAGGGGCGTGGCCAAAGAAAAGGGGGAAAAATGGCGGACAGCCTTGTTTGGCGACCCCCGTGAAATGGTCGTTCGACCCCAAATGGGGTCCCGACCCACAGGTTGAGAACCACTGGGGTAGAAGATCTCATTTCTGTCCCATCTGTCTCTTGGCTTTTGTAGGCGGTTTAGTGCAGTTTTTAATAATAATTTAATGTTGGCTCATTTTAATCTTTTAATTATTGTTCACCTGTTTTGATAATTTGATAAGCTTGCCCAGGGTCACCTTTTAGGAGAGATGGACAGCATGGGATTTTTAATAAATTAAATAAATGAACAGTGTACAGGATTTGTTGAGGCTTCAGATCAAAACGGAAAGACGTTGCCGTTGCCTTCCCACTGTTTATTCCCGATTAGGAAAACTGGCCTCTGAACTTGATCAAACTCACCCCTATTCAAAACTAAGTTCTACCGAGTTCAGTGGTGCTTATTCCTAAATAAATATGTATGGGGTTGGCATGCCAGGCTGACTTTCAAACTCGCTCACATGCTGGGTCCTTTAAAAGATCATGTGGCAAGAAGGTGGCTATCTTCAGTGTGCATAATATGTTGGTTTTTTTTCGAAAACTGGAACAAAACCGCATGGGCTTGGATGCATTGGCAGGAAGCGTTTCGCTCTGAAATGATAAACCGCACAAATTAGCATGACTGAAGTCAGTAGGAGAACCAAAGCACACAAAAACTCCAGGTGGAGCTGTAAAAGGATGAATAAGATGTGAAGTTAGAAGATCTCAGAGAAAGAGATTCTTCCCCCCTCCCCATAACCAAGACAACTATTATGTCTATTATCAATAGAAGGTCTCTTACTTAATACTTATTTTCCCTCTTCCTTTTTCCCTAGATAAGAAGTTTGGACTAAAAGCACAACGCCTGGAGGCAATTGATGTAACCCTCAGCTTGGCACGAAAAAATCTCAACCACCATGAGAATCTCACGCATTGTCTTTGGGCTCTGCAGATTTATGCTTCCAATGGTGAGTACTGTATATGATAGCTTCCATTCTGGTCACTGCACTTCAGAGTTTGGTAGAAAGCATATTCTGATCATCAGAATTCAGTGGTCAGTTTTCATGAGGTACCGGGATTGCTTGGAGTGTTGAAAACCTATCACGGGCACGCCAACCAAATACTGGTCAAGATCAAGTTCCAAAAGGTCCGTACAACAAAAGGTTGAAGTTGTCCCCATCATTCAAGCTAGATTGATTTAAAAAAAAAATGGATAGGGAACTTTGTGGACAACAGGAGTATCCCACAGAGACATTGCTTCCTTCACCTCTTTCTCCAGTGTGGTGCAGCTGCCAAAAAGCCATTGCAATTTTAGGCTACACGAATAGAGAGATAGAATCAAGATCATGTGAAGTGTTAGTACTGCTTCATAATGCCTTGGTAAGGCCACACTTGGAATACTACATCCAGCTTTTGGTCACCACAATACAAAAAAGATGCTGAGACGCTAGAAAAGTGCAGAGAAAAACAACAAAGATGATTAGAGGCCTGGAGGCTAAAACATATAAAGAACAGTTGGTGGAATTGGGTATGTCTAGTTTAATGAAGAGAAGGGGGGACAGGATAGCAGTCTTCCAATCTCTCAGGGGCTGCCCCAAAGAAGAGGGAGTCAAGTTATTTTCCAAGGCACCTGAAGGCAGGACAAGAAGCAACGGGAGGAAACTAATCAAGGAGAGAAGCAACCTAGAACTAAGGAGAAACTTCCTGACAGTTAGAACAATTAACCAGTGGAATAACCTGCCTCCAGAAGCAGTAAATGCTCCAACACTGGAAGTTTTCAAGAAGAAACTGGACAGCCATCTGTCCGAAATGATATAGGGTTTCCTGCCTGAGCAGCAGGTTGGACTCAATGACCTCCAAGGTCCCTTCCAACTTTACTACTACTACTACTACTACTATTACTACTACTACTACTACTACTACTACTACTACTACTAAGTGTATGCACTATACTTCTGCTGGAGGATCTCTGGCAATTTGAAGTGCACCTGGTCTTTTCCAAGTGCTCTCAATTTTATTTATTTATTTATTTGGGTTCACCTTCTCTGACCTCGTTGTCACTTCCCTCGTGGAGACCTCTAACTGTATCAGCAGCGGTTTGGCCCAATATGACATGCTTAGCATTTTAGATCTTCCCCTTGAAGATTTAGTGCTACTGGCTGGCTGGCCTTGTAAGTTCTCTGTGTGAGCATGCGAGACCCCAGTGGTCTTCATTCACACTGGGCCTTCCTGGGCAGGCAGCCAACTTTCCCTGTCATTCTCTTTGAGATAAGCAGTGTTTGAAAGGGTGCCTGTAACAGAGAAGACAGTTGAAAGGCATCTTGATTTAGATGTATTTATTCCCCCTGCCTTTCACATTCACTCTTTCCTTGTGGCTTGCTTTTTATTTGGGTCTGCTATCACATGCCAGAGGAAAAGTAACTAGTATTTGGAAATGCAGAGGCAGAGTGATGGGCTAGTTACTCAGGACAGGCGGTGGTGGTTACTACAGATTTAATGCTGAGTGAAAAAAATGTGGGGAAGATTCTCAAGGAAAGTGTAGTGTGCCACATGGATAATAAACCTGTTATTCAGGAAATGTGCTACAATTTTACTGTCCTCTCTACCAACGTTGAAGAGACAGCTGTCATTGATGCTGTTATTATCGGTGCTTTTGGTCATCCTTCCAGCTCCCCCTAAAAATAAGATGTAGTCTATACTTACAGAAGGTGAATTGAGTGACAGTTAACATTGGCAAGAATCCAGCATCTTTCTTTGCCCAGTTGTCTTTAAAAAAAAAAAAAAAATAAGGAGCAACTTAGAATTTCATAGGAAATTCACATTTACCAAGAATTTACTGCCAAAAGTTCTACCTACCTTTCACCCCAGAAAGAGTTTTGAATTTCATTCCATTTTTAAACAGAAGGGTGATACAAATAAGAAGAATGGATTTAGCATTGGGAAGAGACATCTGCACTACATTAACAGAAATATAATTTCAAAATTGAAGTATAATCCCACATTTGTCTTCTTTGGTCAAATCTCACCTGGGCAACACAATTTAAGAAGGATTTAGATAAATGGAAGAAAATTCAAAGAAGGATAAAAGAAAGTGTGATCAGGAGACTAAGCCCAAGTCCTATAATGAAATATTAAATGGGTTGGGTATTTTGGTTGATTGATCATGTGTCATCAAGTTGTTGTTGACTCCTAACGAACCATAGATTTTCTCCATGATGTTATATCCCTAACCTCTTCTTTCTGATCTTCCAATAGTGTCACTCTAACTGAATTCATCCACCTTGCTGCTAATCATGATGAGGTTTAGGCGTAAGCTAAACAAGCTACAGTTTAGGGCCTCGCAATCCACAAGGCTGCATGAAATTTCAGAATATCAGTTTTCTGATGTTGTAAACATCCGAAAAATAAGTTCATTATTAGTTAAATTAATGAAAGTGATCCCAATCATTATATTCGTCAGCATTTTGTATATATTAATGTGCCTTAAAATTACTTTAAAAAACAGGCTTAAGTATTATTGCCAGTGTATCTATATTATAATCTATGAGGTCAAACCAGCCAAGTAATAAGTATTTAATCAGTAAATGCATTCATTTGAACACAATTTGTACTTTTCACTTTAAACAATTTACTATTAAATAATTAAAATTATATGTTTTAGGTTTTTTTTGTGAAGATCCAAGGTCCTGTTTTACTATGTTCTTTCTTGGATAACTTTCTAACAAGAGACCTCCAGTTTACATCAAGTCTCAACCTTGTATGGCTGTTGATCTTCTTCTTCTTCTCTTTCCTTCCACATTTCCTAGCATTAGAGATTTTACATATATTTAAGGTTTATTTAACTTTAAGAAAAGATGATTGAAAAGGGCCTGTGAACATTTTTTTAACTACCTGAAAGGATGTCACATAGAAGGAAGTGTTCTCCCTTGCTCCAGAGAGCATGACACAGAATAATAGATTCAAGTTAGAAGAACATGCCTATTGAATGCTGGGGGAGGGGGAGGGGAAACCTTGACAGCCAGAGCAATTCAAGAGTGGAACCAATTATCCAAAGAAGTGGTAGGTTCCCGTTCATTGGATCTCTTCAAGTGGAAATTAGACAACTATCTGTCTAGAATGCTCTAATTTGATTCCTTCATTGAGCAAGTGCTCCAGCCTAAATGGTCTCTTTCAGCTCTGTGACCCCCCCATGATTCCGTCTATTGAGCTGGATGTATTGCTCAGCGTTAAAATCTTTGACAGACTGTGAATTAGTTGACACTCTATCTGTCAGTGTTGCCCTCCTGATTCTTCTACTGCTAGAACTAGTGTGACAGTCATCACTATTTGTGCTGAGACCTTGGTTTTGGTACTGGACAATGCACTTTCGTATTGTTGACTAGGACTATCACGTTCAACATTCTTGTATTGAAATGACTGAATTAAAGAGAATAAATGAGTGGTAATACAGGTAGTCCTCAGCGTCCGAACCACAATACAGCCAAAAATGTATGTTGCTAAGTTGAGACATTTGTTAAGTGAATTTTCCCCCATTTTGCGACCTTTCTTGCCTCAGTTGGTAAGTGAATCACTGCAGTTAAGTTTAGTAACATGGTTGTTAAGTGAATCCAGTTTCCCCATTGACTTTGCTTGTCAGAATGTTGAAAAGGGGGATCACATGACCCCGGGATACTGCAACCATCATAAATATGGGTCAATTGCCAACTGTCTGAATTTTGATCATGAAGCTGCAATGGTCGTAAACGTGAAAAATGAGCATAAGTAATTTTTTTCAGTGATGTAGCTTTGAACAGTCACTAACTGATCTGTTGTAAATCAACCTGTAATATGTAACTGTCCATATCTGGCTGTCTAGTCTCTTCTTAAAAACTTCCAGTGTTGGAGCATTCACAGCTTCTGGAGGCAGATTGTTCCACTGATTAATTGTTCTAACTGTCAGGAAGTTTCTCTTTAGTTCTAGGTTGCTTCTTGGTTAGTTTCCATCCATTGCTTCTTGTCCTGCCTTCAGGTGCTTTGGAGAATAGCTTGACTTCCTCTTTTTTGTGGCAGCCCCTGAGATATTGTAAGACTGATATCCTGTCCCCCCTTGTCCTTTTCTTCATTAAGCTAGACATACCCAATTCCAGCATCCGTTCCTTATATGTTTTAGCCTCCAGTCCCCAGATCATCTTTGTTGCTCTTCTCTGCACTCTTTCTAGAGTCTGGGACTTGTTACAGAAGATTTCAAAGAGAATAAAAAAGCAAGTGGGAAATTGCAGGCAGTCTTTTTCTATTGTGCCTCCAAAAATTATTTCCCAAATTCCATGTTCTTATTTTTTCCCCTCTGCCATTCATTGCAGTTGCAGTCGGAACTATGTTGGGCATTAATGGAGCGATGGAATTGCTCTTCCAAGTTATCACACCATATACCAAGAAGCACACCATCACAACAAGGTAGGTTGAGAAACTCATAAAATACCACCTTTAGACATATCAGATTGAGAAAAAAGCACCATGTTTGTCCACGGTTGGAATAGGCTGGGTGAATATGATACTTTCATTTCTAGTCTCAATCCAAATTAAGTCAAAGTATGAAACTCTAGGTGAAAGAAAAATCTTCATCAGGGTCCAGTCCAAGCTGGGAATAAACAACATGGAGACTGCTTTAGAAAGAAGGTTGTAGTTTACTGAAGAGGAGAGCCAGACAGAAAGACGGCTCTGGAAAAGACTGACCACATGGAGCAGAGTGCTGGGCTTTTATACCTTCTTGAGGTTGTTTCCTTTTCCTGTTTGAGGCTTTGTATTTCCTGTGTAATGTACTTTGACCTGAGTCTGAGTGTGCCCTTTTGGTATTGGTGGCTTAATCCTATTACGTCCTGTCTTAGAGTTTGGGTGGGGTGTGTAGATTTTAAGGGTCTTTATCTTCCTAATTTCTTCAGTTTCTATCTGGAAGACTCCAAACTTTCTCAAAGGATTATTGAATTTGCATTTCTAAAAGCTGGCTTCTGCCTAGGGGCTGGGCTGATTTCTGGGGGCTGGTTTCTTTCTGTCTTTTTAAAAAAAGATCTTCTCCATCATTCCTTTGGGGAAATATATTCTGCCTTTTTAATATTTCCCAAAATATTTCTTTCTCTGTATTCTTCCCACAGTGGATATAAGAGAAAAGGAAAACTATCATGGCTCTTCATGCTCTGTTCTTTCTCTTGAAACCTGGACATCATAATTTAAATACCATCATGTAGAGTTGATAGGAAGAGGGTTATATCTTGGTCTATGCTTATGAGTCTCCCAAATCTACTTGGCCGCTGTGAGTTACATGTTGCTGGATAGATAACCTCTTTGGATGTTTGTGCAGGATAATTTTCATAGGTGCTAAGGATTGACGTTATGATTTTCTGCATGCAAAGCATAAAATCTATCCCTTGGCTGCAAACTTTCCTTTGAACGACATGATAAAAATACTGGATGTTTGGGGTAACTTGAATGTTAACTGTTGAAACAATGTATTCTGCCTTGTGGATTTATCCTTTTTTTGCTTCTCCTTTTTGCTGGATGGAAAATAGATATGGAAAAAAAATGTTGTACTTGTTTTTAGTCTGTAAATTCAATTCTGTTTCTGCATTCATCTGCGATTCTTTAAAAACTCTCTTTATATAAATATATATTTAAATGCTACATGTAAATACTCTAAATAGCTATTTAAACATTTATTCTGTATCTCATTTTGGCATAATTACAGAACGCTTGTAAAATTGGGATAGCTAAATTAGAAACTACATTATAAAAAGCAACAATATTGTGGGGGGTATTTTTTTAAGACAGGGAGGATGACAAACAAATTGGGGATGCTGAGTTGCTAGAATGTTTATCCGATACAGTGCTGGAACAGAAGACTCTTGCTGAGGAGAGAGATGAGATGGTGAGAGGGGAAAGGAAAAAGCTAAGCTGTAGCAACCTTTCCAATTGCTTCTTTTCCTCAAACGGGAAAAGGATAGAGAATGTAATACGGACAAATCCAGCTCAACTGGCTACAATATCTCTGGTATGGAGGAAGATGTTGAGGTCCCAAGTCCCAACTGCTACCCAGGAAATCCATCTTGCATCCACAACTATTTGGAAAGCCCCAAGGACAACGATTCCCAATCTTGGCAACCTTAAAAGATGTGGACTTCAGCTCCTGCAGTTGTCAAGGTTGGGGATCCCTGCTCAAAAGACAGGTAGAAACTGCCTTTTTTTTCCTGTGAATTCAGTGCCTCCTTCCCTTCCCCCTTTCATCACCAGGGCTTAAATCTGTCCTGGCTCTCTTACATGAAGCTAAAATTAGTTATGCAGCTGTCTGCTCCAGTCCTGTCCCTAACCAGTTCTCAGAGTGAGATTTACAAGGCATGCACACATTTTAAACGAGAGGCACAGAGAATTCAGGTTGTTTAGACTGTCCCTGCTTTTTCCCCCTTTCACGGTTCTGAAAAAGACACACCCGGAGAAGACCTGGAGAAGATACAGAAAGGAATCCCAGGTGATCAAGGACATAGCTTAGGGAAAGACAAAGAAGAGGGAATCATAGTTTGGCACGGCTTATGGCTTCCTAACATCCTGAAATGCTGCATTTGCAATGCTGGTGAGGATAAAAACTTTTTTTTTTTTTGCAAACATCCTAGTTTTTGATAATCACTAAGTGCCCCACTTTTTTTCTTTAACCTCCTCTGTTGCCTCTTCAGCCCTCTGTCTCATACGAGACTGAACAGTAGTTTGTTTGGCACACCATAGTGTTCTCTTGCACACAATGTTTTTTCAAGGTATAAATTATGCTATACAAAACCATTAGGTCATACATTGCAGCATTTGATTGATAGATTTATATCCCATCTTTTCTCAAGACTTCAGAATGGCATCCATGCATATCCACTTCACTGTATTTCCACAGTAGCAATTCCAGAAGGTAGCCTGAGCTTATAGTTCTGCTGTGAATTTCTTTGGGTAAGGATAGAGGGCCTAGGGAGATTCTCCATCACCCAGGTCATGGTTGTCCCAAAGGTGCTTTTTCAAAAGGCAACTGGACTTTCTCCTAGAAGGCATTTCTCTTCTCATCCAAGAAGCTTCTTCGGTTTTGACTGAATGGTGGAGGATGGAATTCAGTCAGAACTGAAGAAGCTTCTTGGATGAGAAACGAAAAATCTTCAAGGAAAAACAGAGAAAGTCCAGTTACCTTTTGAAAAAGCACCTTTGTGTAAGGATCGACTTGAAGCTGAACTTTTCCTATCCTACTTCAACACTAACCTTTATTCTGATACTAAGCCAATGGCCAAGCAAGCCATAACAAAACCCACGAATCTAGATAGATAGATAATAGAGATAGGATAGATAGATAGATAGATAGATAGATAGATAGATATTGTATGTATATAGACAGACAGACAGATAGATAGATAATTGTATGTATGTATGTAGATAGATAGATAGATGATAGATAAATAAATAGATAGATAGATAGATAGATAGATAGATAGATAGATAGATAGATAGATAAATAGATAGATAGATAGATCACCCCTAAGCTTCACCCCTAAGCTTCAGCAAGGCTTTTTTGTAGCTGTGAAGCCATGTTGGATCCCAAATTACAAAACCTTGTCATAACCTTTTCCATGATTGTGGTTATGAAAATAGCTGGAAAGATGCTATTACTCTCACCAAAAATTAGCAGAGCCTTGCTGAAGAGACAGCTGCAGGAAGCAGTGCATCTGTTGGGCCCACTTAACATTTTTAGCAAATGAACAATTCTCTGGCCCCATTAGCAGTTGGTAACAGGAAGCAGCAACAACAAAAAAATAAACAAAACTGTAAACAAGATGGTACAGAATTAGATGCACAATGTTGCTTCTGCACCTACAAAATGTGGAACGTTGCTAATGGCAGAAATAGTGATTGCTCTTATGAACTTTGCCAGTTTACCCATGCCTGTCCTGTTCCTACATGGCTCTTTGGTAAAACATGACCTGACTGGTTATAGAATCATAGAACATAACAGTTGATAGGTGTCTTAAAAATAGCTCACTCTAACCATTTGTCAGGGCAGGGATCCATTGCTCTAGTGTCCCCAATGCTCATCATTAGAAAATATCCAGACATCTTGCTAAAATCTGCTCTCTCGTGATTTAAACTCATTGCTTTCTGTCTTGTCTTCTGCAACAAGTCTGCTTTGTTTTCCAAAACCTGACAACACTTGGAATATTTGGAGACAGTTCTCATATCTTTTCCAGGTTAAATATACCCAATGCCTCCAATCATTTCTCAAGTTTTTTTTTCCTTCCAGGCTCCTTGTCACCTTGACTGATCTCCTCTGGGTGCATTCCAATTTGTAATGTCCTTCCAAAAATGTGGTGCCTGGAATTTTGATTGGATTGGATTTTGTATTCAGTGGTTACCCACCTTAGTTTTTAAGCCTTGGCATTACAGTATGTGTGACTACTGATTCTTCTGTTCTTATTTTTCTTTTCCTTTACAAATCCCCCCTCCCCCATTAGATGAGAATGTGTGATGTTTTCATAAGGGACAAATACATTTTAGAACAAATGAAAACTGTGTTGCAATCAGCCCAACAATTGTAATCAAAAAGGAATGCTGTAACACGGTAAATACAAAAGCCCAGCAGTTACATGTAATGAACGATTTCAGAAAGCAAAAGCATCAAATAAAAGGTTTTTAAATGCTCTTTCTCTGTTTATGAACGTTCTCAAGGAGCAGCTAGACAAAAGTTGCTTATAAAATAAAATCCAGCCATTAAGTTTATGCTTCAAAGTTTCTTCCAAGAGACAGCACTCATAGTAACAAAAGATTTTAACACTGTATAGTAATGCAATCCTATCTGCTTTCAGTTCATGTAGTACCTTTGTTAGAATATTCCCATTACTTATTTCTGCTCATAAAATCGTTTTTCACATGATAATTTACATTAATGAACACATCTTTTCCCCATCCATCTTCCTCTTTTTTTTCACCATTGGAGAAGTCTAGAATAGGTTTGCCAGGACTTTTAGAAACTTAATTTTATATCAAGTGCTGGCTTAATTCTAAAAAACAAAGCCACCTCCTAACCCTTAGGACTCCTGTTTTCCATTAAAGGCACTGAGCCAACATTTGCTAGCTGCAGTCACTTCTACTATTGCATTTCATATTTATCACAGTGGTAAATTTAATGCACAGGTAGATTTATGTAATGAATGTGCAGGTTCATCAACATAAGATAAAAATCTTGGAGTCAGTTCTTGATTTCCTTCTTGGAGCTTGTTCTTTCAGCTTCGTGAGTTGCTTCCAGAAAGTTTAATTAATTAAATGCGTCTTGTGCATGGCTCCCAGTGAAAACCAAGTTCTAAAATTTAAACACTGGCAGCTTTGCAAGTCCCCATTCCAATCCTGCAGGCAGGGTTTGAAGCAGAACATTCTGCTTTTAAAACAAG